GAGCCGTCAAGTTCTGGGGTGAGGGACCAGGTGTCCCGCATCTCGACTGCAAGTTTGGACCGCTGCCTCAGAAGAGCGTCCAAATTTGTAAGTGACCCGGGGTCCGTCCTGTAGAGGACCATCGACTACGCCGCTGAGGTAAGATTGGTGTCTTCATTTTTGCTCAATTTACCTAACAGGTAGCTCGGTCTAACTTTCTTCTTTGTACCTTTTCTCAGGCGTTTGTTGCTTCCATTCAATCGGCTTTGGCCGTGAAGGCCGAGCTGGATGGGAGGGATGCTCTGGCAGCGAGGGAGAAAGAGGAGTTCTCTGTTGCCTTGGAGGTTGTCTCTTCCACCATGAAGGAGGAGCTGTTGAAAGCTCACTCCGAGGTGGAAATTTTGAAGGCCGAGGTGGAGGCCAAGGCCGAGCTGCTGAAGAAAGAAGAGGACAGACGCAACGCCCAGCTCCGAGCTGCCCATGCTATCACCAAGGGCTTGGAGAAGGAGAAGTTCCAACTCCTCAAGGAGAAGGACGACATGCTCCAGGCGCTTGAAGCGAAGGAGGAGGAGCTGAAGCATGCGACTGCTGAGCTGGAGATGGTGAAGGAACGTCTCAGCAATGGAGCCCTATTGGAGGAATCGTTCAGGCAACATCCTGACTTCGATGGATTTGCCAAAGACTTCTCTGACGCGGGCTGCAAGTTTCTCATGAAGGGCATTGCTTCCGACATGCCTGACCTTCAGATCGATCTCGGTGATCTGAAGAAGAGGTATGCTGAGCAGTGGGCGTCTGGGCCTAGCGGCACCCCTGGCCCCCAAGCGTTGGTGGATAAGTACGTCAGAGATTTGGACTCTGACTACTCCGACCTCGAAGAGGATCAGGTCGGCACCACTCAGGAGGGCGCTCCTTAAGCAGGCTCTTAGGCGATCACCTTTCATGAGGCCTTTCTCTGTCTTTCTTCTCTTCTTTTGTAAGTGTTAGGGCAGAGCTGCAAGGTCTATAAGCCTTGGCTCTGCTTTTCATTCAATAAAGAGGCTTCTCATTTGTTTTTACCTTGTTGCCTTCTTTCTTCGTTTTTTCTTCAAGTTGAAGCCAATGTCACTCGCGTCTCGTACCTTTGAGGTCGCGCCATTAATTAAAATACTTGAAATTTTGAACTTGGATCGCTGTCTAGTATTCAATGCATTGCACCAACTCTGGACTTTTTAACATCACACCTATAACTTAAAAACGTTAAAAGGCTAAAACCCTAAGTCCATAACTGTTCTTCATATCGCACCTCGTACCCTCAGGTTCAAAGGCTTGATCATTCTGAACTTTTCACATCGCCCCCTTGCCTTGAAGGTTTGGATTTTAAGTTCACCAACGGTTTTGGCATCGCACCTCGTACCCTTAGGTTTTGGAGGATTGAATTTTAACCGACTGCTGGAATGTGATCGTGTGGGAGTCCGTGGCCCCCATTTAATTTCTGGTCGAACTCGGAATCATGGAATTAAATCATCACATTTATTCCGATCATAATTCTTTTGAAACAGTTTTTACAGATCCATTGAAAACCATTTTGGCATTTCAAGGATAATAACGCTTCAGGTGCTCCACGTTCCACGGGTGCGCGAGGACGTCTCCTTTCAGATCGGCCAATATGTACGTCTCAGGTCGGACTATTCCCTTGACCTCAAACGGCCCCTCCTAGGTCGGGTCAAGGGCACCCACATGGGTTTGGACCTTCCTTAAGACCAAATGTCCGACTGGGATGGTCCGAGGTCGAACGCGGGCGTTGTAGTGTCTGGCCATTTTGCCCTGATATTCCGCCAGGCGTAGCTGGACCATTGCTCTTCTTTCTTCCAATAAGTCGAGGTTGAGGAGCAGCTCTTCCACCTGTCCATTTGCTTGCGGATGCGCGGGGGACGAGCTAAGGTGACTTATGCAAAGCTTGCTGCAAAAGTCTTTGAACTTCGCGTTGTCAAACTGCTTCCCATTATCTGTCACAATGGCCTTCGGTATACCAAAGCGACATATGATATTTGTCCATAC